AAACTGTACAATTTCTTGGTTACTCTATGGGTAATATTGAATATACATTTTACTTAAAGTGAGTAACTTTTTGCGAGCATAAAGAAAATACAGAATAAAAATTAAGCACTCAAAAGTGAGGTGTGAATGTGCCTTATGTCGCGCTTGTGTAAAAACTATAAATTCCGATAAATAAATTTCCATAATATTCTACAACAATATGCCATACAATGTAAATCAATGGAATGTGATGGCAGTGCACCAAAAATTCAGGATAAATAAATTTGAACAAATATACGAAAAAATATATTAAAAAAATATAAAGAAAAGACACAAAAATTAAAATTTGAGGCCTGAATGAGAACATCACTTTCTCCCACCACACTTCCCAACCAAAAAACCACATAGACAATTTTTTGTAATTTCTTCAATAAAACAAAAATATAATAATAATTCTTACAAAAATTGTAATTCAGTTAAACTTTTCAAAAACAAAAGTTTGAGCCGAAAAAATGTGTTGGATAGTGAAATGCTCATACCCCAGACCCGTCTAGAGTATGCATCAACTGTGGGCACATAGAAAAACCAACAAACAGCAACAAAATTTCTCACAGGTTTGTAATTTAAGCGCGACACAGCAACAACAACAACATCAACAGCATTAGCAATGGCAAAAACAACTTCGTCAGCGATCACCACAAACTAATTGCAAAGTTTAAATGCGATACTTTTATGCATTTTAAATATTTCAATTAGTTGTCGCAGAGGTGAGCAGACAACGGACAAGAGACAGCGGACAGTGGACAGCGGACACCCCCCGACCACGGACAGCGGACAGCGGACAAGCAGGCGACTCGAAATGGATGCCTGTAAATGGCCAGAAAGAAAGTGCAAAAAAACAGCGTGGGGCGCCAGCAAAAAACGAGTGCTGCAGCGAGAGTAAATAAAAAGGTTCGGAGTTTACTTAACCCCCCGCACCCGAGTTGAAAATATTGGCAAACAATTTATGAACTTTAAGCCGCATTTATGCGTGCGGCTTATAAGCAATAAAAGTAACTTAGTGCCAACAATGTCATAAAGGCCGCCGTCGCATAAACAACACCAACAATGGGGTGAAAATTCAATATATGTGAATTTATATGCCAAAAGCAGCAAAAGCGTAGCAGCGCCAAAAGCGAAAATAAAATTAATAATCAGAAGAATTTCACTTTTCACGCAACGACAGAGGCAGGCAGGAGGCAGCAACTACATCAGTGTCTCGCGGCAACGTCTGCCATGTCACCCACAAAAAAATCAAGTAGCAAAAGGCTAACAGCTCGAACGAAGTGGAAGATACACTGCCAAAAAAGAGGCAACTAAAGCGAATGAATATGTACATAAATATGTAGGAAATGTTGTCTGCAAAAATGGCTCTTAGCTGCCTGCTCCCCTGCCTCAGGCTCTGCCATCCATTTCCCCTGCAAACCTCCTCACTTAGCCACCACAATCCAAACCTGCAAGTGTATCGGTTGCCAGGTCAGTGGAAGCGCTGGGGCATACAGTTGCATAAATTTATTGAAATTTGCATTTCGATTTTCGACGGTTTTTTTTCGTGGCTGCTGCAGTTCCGTGTCGCTTCAACGTTTGCATTGGCTGTGGCCTATAAAAAATATGGCATCGATCGATCGCAACGCGAGATATTTCAATTAGCGTAAATACATTTTTGTCGTTCTTGGATGGGACAGAGAGACGGCAGCTTGCAGCTCTTCATGAAAGAGAAATCGATGACCAGGAGACATGTTTGTACATTTATGCCATACACTGCGTGGATTAACTTGTGTGTTGGGCCAATGAGGCAATAACGAGGCTCGAACTATGCAAATGTGCGCAATCAAATATGGGCAGCAAACCTTTTTCCCAGGCGTACTACGGTTTGGGTTTGGGTTTGCTTTTTGTTTTGTTTGTTAAATCAAGACAAATTGAAACTAAAACTAATAGGAGCAGCGGCAGATTATGGATCCTCTGGTGTAATTTTCACGTGCAATTGCTGCACGCCTCTAAGGATGACAATTTCCAGCACTTTGTGGCCCTCGGCCAGCGCATCATACAAGTCCGAGGAGTTCTTGATCTCCTTCTTGTTAATGTGTGTAACAATGTCGCCCGGTTGCAAGCCGCCACTAGAAAGAACAAACAAGAGATTAGCGACATTCCTTGGAGCAATTGCTAGACCCACCTGTGCGCCGGGGAGCCCACAATGACCTTCCACACGAGCACGCCGTGGCTGAGATTGGCGGGCATATTCTGGATGCGTGACTTCAGCTCGAAGAGTATTTCCGGCGTCAGGGTCAGAATGGTAATGCCAATGTACCGCTTCACCGGATAGCCCGTCTTGTAGGCGGAGCCCTTCTTGCGCCGCTCGGCGGCACGCTCCAGGAACACCTTCACATAGTCGATGGGTATGGCGAAGCTGATGCCAGCGGTGACCTTCATGGAGTTGACGCCAATGGCCTCGCCATCGAGATTCACCAGCGGCCCGCCCGAGTTGCCAAAGGTAATGGCAGCGTCCGTTTGCAGGTAATTGATGTCACGATTGCGCAGTCCCAGCTCCTGGGAGGCACGCTGCGTGGCACTGATGACGCCCGCCGTCACCGTGTTGCTCAGCGCCAAGGGGCTGCCCAGCGCCACAACCCACTCGCCGGAGCGCAGGGTGCTGCTCTTGCCGAGCTTCATCACGGGCAGGCCGCTGACCTGGATGCGCAGCGTTGCCAGATCGGAGGTCTGATCCACGTCCTCGATGGTGGCGGGAAAGGTGCGTCCATCCGACAGTCGCACCTGCACCATCGTGTGCGGCTTGTTGATCACCACATGGGCATTGGTCAGTATCAGTCCATTCTGTTCGATGACGAAGCCCGAGCCATTGGACGCCGTTATGGGCTGACCGCTGAAGTAGTCGAAGTGGCGCGTGTCCTTGATCTCAATGTACACCACAGAGTCCCCGCAGCCGGCCACCACGTCAGCGATAAAATTGAATTCCTTGCGGCGGCCAGTCAGCGAACGGGCGGAGACTGTGGACGTGACAATATCGTCTGGGAGTATCAGCATGGCACTGACCAGGGCGCCCAGCGAGAAGGGCACACAGAAGCGCAGCACACTGCGCCAGCCGGATTTGCTCTTCTCTTTGTTGTTTTTGTTATTGCTGTCGCCGTTGCTGCCTTTGTTGCTGCTGCCGGCTGTGTGCGCTGTTGTGCCGCTGACGCTGGTCACATAGCAGCGTCGTAACGTGGGCGCCGTGCATCGTCTTAGGAACATTTCCAAGTGGTTAATACTTTGCAGCGACATTTATTTCAGTGCTCCCTATCCTTGTCTATCAGTTTTCAAATTGTTTGTTATTCAATTTTTCAATCCGGCTGACAGCTGTTCGAGTTGGGTGGCCGCGTGGCAAACAGCTGTGTCGCCGGCTAGCGGCGAATGTCGATATCGATATTATTACACTCGATAGTTCGTGCTTTGTGATGGGAGATTTGGGAGATTTGGGAGATTCATCGGGTAGAGCCCGCGAGATTTGAAATGGGAATGAATTCGGACCTGGGCCAGCGATTGACAATTATCTTAAAAATACGTTGATGGAACGACCTTAAAGCTAAAGAAAATCTTTGTAGGTGTATTCCATACGGAAACAATGTCTAAAAATTATTGGTCCTTAATTGCTTTAGAGGGAATATATTTTCCTACATCTCATTTGTTAGTTTTTTAGAAATACAGTAAGAACAATTTTGCTACACAAAATAAATTTTTTTTTTATTTTTGCCCTGTTATATATTCCTAACATTATTGTTAACTTTTCTTCAAATATTGCCTTTGCCCACTTGCCTTAACGAGATTTCAAATCTGGCGGGCAAGTCCCGTTGTATGATAAAATCATCCATCTCGATGTACTTGTACATAAATGAGACCCGGTGGCAGCGCTGTTTCCAATTATCACTGACACAAGCTGCTTGCTGCACTACAAACTTATCGCTCACTCGTGAAAACTTATCGAATTATTAATTAGCACCAGTCGCTGCTATCGGTTTCGGCGCGGTTTCAGTTACATTCAAATTTAAATTTTTCAAATCCAACGAATCTGATTTAATAATGATTTGGCTGCCGCTCGAATGTTGACAGTGAATTACTGCTAACCCACGGCGAAAAAATGTTCCAGCTGCCATCGCTGGAACAGACCAAATGCAAACGAAGTTCAATTGTTTTTCAATTTATTTGCTGACACATTTTCACCTTTTACCTCTCGAAAGCCACAAAGGAATTAATCAACAAAAAAAGGTGCCAGCCACCCACAAGCCCCACAAATCAGTGAATTTTGCCTTAGGTTTCTGACACTCCCTTTCGATGTGTGATTCTGGTTTGATGCATTTGGAATATGCCTGCATATTGGCAGCACAAAAGCAAAAGGGAAGCTCAGCCAACGCCAAACTCGAGGCAGAACTGTTAACAGGAACTGGCCCAAAACAAAGGAAATTGTGAGAAATGTACATAAAAGTCACACGAGCATGATATGACTACGTGGCTGTTGCCTAGGACTAGGACTGGCAAAAAAAGGTGAGTTAATCAAAGCCCACACCCTCCGAGACCCATGCGGTTGGACAAGCCTCCCACCTGTGAGGAATGCGACACTTCAGTCTGTCTGCTACGCAATAAGGAGAGCTGTACACAAGGACAAACAATCAGTTGAATTTGACTAGAAAGAGAGCGAGGGCGAGAGAGACATACCCAATTTATGCAAATTCCTAGCCCTGTCTGTCTGCCCGTCTATCTGTCGAAGTCGCCTGCCTTTTGTAATGTAAACAAAAGACTGAAACACGTGCTGGATGTGGGCGCATGCGCATGCGCTGGCACCTAACAGTTAACATGTTAACATCAGGTTTCAGCATGTTGCAAGTTCCTTTTAAAGATGCTGCAAGCCACTGGCCCGGCACAGTACGCTGCCAGCAATCGTTCGGTTGAGACCCCTTTAATCATTTATTCCTTAAGCCCAAACACGGCAACAAGTGGCCCCTCAAAGATGTGCGTAAATACCGCTGGAAAATTCTTAATTTTCGGGTATTCCGCCATACTCCTGGTGACAGCGGTTCGCGGTTTTCATCAAAATGGAACGAGCCAGCGGGAGGATTGCGGCAGCACGCAGCGCATGGTGGATAATTGCTTCAAGGATTTGCCGCCGCATCTAATGGAGTTTCTGCAGAACACCAAAATCATCATCAGCAAGAGTGACATTACGACCAAGTGCAAGTACGCCGAGGACAGTGCTTAGCAGCTGCCAAGAAGTGCAACTAAATTATTTATGGGTTACATAATGCATTCTGAGTAGAGGACTTTCAAGTAGCAAGATTTAGAGGGGGAAATGTGCAGAGATTCAGGCATTATTTAGGTGAAACTTAAGAGCAGCTTTAGCTACAAATTATAAAGAAAAGCTCTCTAGTCTTCCACTTAGCTTACAGCAATTGAAACTTGTAATCGATGGCCAAAATTGTGGCCTGATTGCTGCTCCCTGCTTTATAAATATTTGCCCGCCCTCTTTGGCTGCCCAAAACTTCTTCGGAAATATGTGACATTAAACAGTAGACTTTAGGCACACAACTTTAAGTGCATTTTCTAATGAAAACCCACAGCCACAGTCACTGTCAGTTGGGTTCCAACTTAAGACAAAAGTTTGCACAAATTTGTTTCCGAATGGATAGACTTTGTAGGACTTATAGGAAGGGTTCCTGTTTGGATTTACCTTGGTTCAATTGGCTTTGGGAATTGTTGAACCAAAACACCTTTTAGTCAGCCAGCAATAAAACGGCCAGGGGACAGGCTTTAGGCTTATTTTTACTCATTTATTCCACCATTTTGCAGCATTTTCAACCGCGGAATGCGATGCTTCGATGCCTACTCGAAGCGCTGCCTGAATGACCGTAAGCTGGAAACCTTCAAGATCAATGTGGAGGGTGCGCGGCGATTTTTCTATAAATTCTGCGGCGATCAGGATTTTCAGCGAGGTGAGCGACGAGAATTAAGAAGAATTAAGTCCACACATTCAGGCACACACCCACACACGACCAGACACCAGCCACAGGCATAGAAGGAAGAGTCTACACTGAGATAATCCAGCTAATACCCCGCCAAAGTTCACACAAAGGACAAGTCGACTTGACAGCACTTTAAGTGGCCTGCAACATGATTTATTCATTTGCTGGTGCGGCTCCCCACTCTTGCAGATTACCTGCGGCACAAGGACTGCTTCGCGTACATCCAGCTGGACTGGGTCAGCTGCACATCCGAGTTCGAGGGCATCCTCAGTGACGAGGTGCACGATGGCACACGGAATGCCAGCGCCAAATTCATGGAATTCTGTTGGTAAGTTTGGCTTGCAGCAAATTGCATTCGATATTGGTACTATGTGGCACCCCCCCGGACTCTTTTCAGTGCGCGCTTTGCCTACGAAAATTGCATCTACAACAGCGCGAGATACAAGTGCTACCAGAATTCGGCGGAGTTTGCACGGGAGACGGCCAAAATGTTGTCGGACGAAAAGCACTTTAGGAACTGCGCCGTCCTCGAGAATATCTGCGGACACGCCACGCGACTGGCACGCCACTGGCTGGTTAGCCAGTTAACCCTGCTCCTGATTTTGTTTGTGGTGCGAATCCTGCCGTAAATCGAAGAATGAATGAACGAATGTGAGTGAGTGCCCCTGGGGGAGTGAGTGTGTGTGTGAGTGCTGTGGGTCATGGGTCAGTGGGTGTTTAGCGGGCATGAGTTTGAGATTTTATTTTGTCTTTTTTGTTTGTCCTTGGGTTGTCCCAAATGAAAATGCCAAGCATTTCTAGTCTACCTCCCTGCTTCACTCTCTCTCTCTGTGTCCCTCTGCTTCTATGTACCGTTTTCTGTTGTTCGTTGAATATGTTGGGGTGGGTCACGGGGTCGGACAGCGACTCTGGTTTATCTCTAGTATGTTAAGCTTACATTAAATGTATTTTTTCAAATAAAATTATTCTTCATGATGTTTACCTTGAAAGCGCATTTTTCGTCGGGGTGAGGGTCTCCCCAAAGCATTCCTTTCTTTATTGCCAGGTCAGAGGATAAATACTTTTACAGGTGCTTCAAATAAAAGAGACACAAAAGCTGATTTACTAATGCATTTTAAAGAGGGCGAATTTTAATAAAGTTTATGTTTTTATCTCTTACCTTTTGGGCAATAATATTTAGCCATTACGGTATCTGCTGCCCCTCTTCCAGAGAGAGCGACGACAGTCTGCACTCGCTCCTTTCTTATTGCTTTTCTCCTCTTCTTCACACACACAAGCGCACCAACACAACTTGCAAGAGATCACATGATCGAACAAAAAAAAAAGATTTCTGCATGGAATATACACATTATACACGTTTTGTACATTAAATGCACCATACACTTTTCACTTTCACTTATTGCCCAATTTTCCTCTGCCGCTCTGCCTTTTGTATGCCAATTTGACGACGCCTGCTGCTTCTCTGGATCACGAACTTTTTTCTTGCAATTTTTGGGCCGCTTTCTGCCATACTACATTGCAACACTCTCTGCACTTCACAACACCATAACACTGCACTGCACCACTTCGCGACAATTTTCCTGCAGGATTTTTCATCCATTTCCCGATTTTCGCGACCCGCGACCTAAAAACGCGCGCTTTGTCCGTCCGAAAAATTGAAAAGAGCGGCGCAGAAATTAATGCGTAGGCGACTTTGAACCATGAAGCAACTATAAGAGGTGGTCCCCTCGGGTAAGTTCGGTCTATTACTTTTCAGTGCGTGCTCGCTTGTTGATGCAAACCCTTTCACTTCACCATTACGGGACCCAAGAGACCTCCTTATATATATGCTTCATGCTTAGAACATTCTCTCTTTCTCTCAACCTTGTTCTCACTCTTCTACTCCAAGCAGCGAATATTTTGCCCTGTTAATGCAACTGTAAATGTAAAGAAGGGGAAAGTGCTTTGCTGCTGGGTTGGCATGTGTGGAAGATGGGGGAAGAAGCTGAGGCGGTCATAATGAGAATATCGAATCATGGAATGTTCGAGAAACTAAGATTCGCTGATTTTAATGCGTAGGAGCCTTAGTTTCCATGCTCTTCTTCTGCTGCGCTACCTAATTGCTCTCTGATTGTATTTTGTCTTTTGTGTTTCCCCTCCTACTCCAAGAGAGCGAACGTTTGCGCTAGTGACCACTTTTTAAAGCAACGGTGAATGTCGAGAAGGGGAAGTGCTTTGCAACTGTGTTGACTGTTTGGTTAGGGGAAAGGGGAGAGGAAGCAGCGCAAAAACGAATGTTCTTCTTGTGAGGAAGAGAACAGCAAATGCAGAAAATGGCAAAAGGTAAGAGATGTAAGAGCTAAGCTTTTGCTCTCCCACTAATGTACATAAGTGTACATACATATATAATTCGTAATGTAATGCATTTAATGGGTGTCAGGATTTATATTTGTTGTTCAGAGATTTCATGATCTCCTTCTGCTCCTGTTTTGCAGCAGCCAAACTGAAACAAGCAAAACCTAAAAAAAAAGCCACAAACCCTAATGCAGCAGCAGCTGCAGCGCCAAATAAAAGCGTACCACACGCCACTAGCATGCAGCGCTGTCGGGGCACAAACTCATTTTCCCAGAAACAGCTGTGGCATAAAATTACCAAAAGAAACACATTTTCCCCAAAATTAAATATAAAGCTCATCGGTTTGAGTGTGGCTCATGTGGATACCATTGTTCTCAGCTCTTAACCTGCCCGTATTTTGCTCCATAAATGAAGCCGCAATAAATCGCTTATCCAATTGTTCTGTCATGCAACCCGAGGAGCATCGAGCCTGCATCGTTGTTGTTTGGTTCTCCTGGTCACACGACTACGTACGAACTACAATATTTATGTTTTTCCAATTGTCAAACCGATCTATAAATGTCAACTCGAGGACATCAGGTGTGCATTTGTGTGTTGCTTTTGCAACATCTTAAATCCTCGTTGAATTTCCATTTGTGTGAATTTTCACCATTTATTGATGGATTGATTGACACTCAATCAGCATGGAAAATAAATGGCATTTATTTGTAACCCCCAAAGTAATCCTCTTACATTCCATTAAAAATACCTCGATGGCTCGTGGATTTTTTATAAACATTTATTTATGCAAAAAGTTAAACATAATCGTACATAAATATATGTATGGTATAGATTTCCATTTATTTGATTTATTACATGTGCGTATTATATGTTTATGTTTCTTTCTATCTGTTAGATTCATAGATAGGCTTTGAACATATGGATTTTCTCGCAATTAATTTGATGAATTAAATCATTCTCAGGCGCGCGCTCCTCAGATCTCTCGGGGCTGCTGCTGCTGGTGTATGATTATTGTTACTTTGTTAAGAGACACAACATTCAGTTAATTAGAGCTTAACTCAACTAAAGATACATAATTTCCAAAAGTGTTTATTCGTTTTCTTGCAATACAATCATCATCATCAATAAAGAGAAACTTTAAGCAAGGCCAAAGAGAATTTTGAAATTGCTACAATTGCACGATTGCCGTTCTTATCTATAGTTATTATTATTCATATATTTATGTAGATTCTTTATTATTATACCTACTATATTTATGCTTTCATCGATGTTGAGTATAAAAAGTCTCACAATTTGCAGAATAATTTCAAAAGTTTTCTTTTTGATTGGTGCCAATTTTGTTGTGAACGTCATTTAAGGCACAGATTGAGATATAATTTCCTCTCCAAAAATAAACAAATACAAATTCTTCAATTTAAAATAAAAATCGCTGCAACAAGTTTCGCTTGGACTGGACTGGACTGTCTGTGTGCTTTGTACCATAATTTAAATGCAATTTATTCGCTTTCTTTTCTTTTCTTTTCTTCTTTTCGTTTCTTTTCGTTCATTCAGCTGTCGCTGCTAATCTGTCTATAAAATTAATATTTGTGTTTGTATACATATGTATAAAAAAACTGCTCTACATTTATTAAAAGAAAGTTTGTTTACTTCAACAGTGCCTGGGGAGACCTCGTTTCGTTTGGTGGCTGGAAGTTTATTTTAAATCAAAGAATTCTTTTTTGTGGTGCCTCTTCGTGGGCAGCAAAAAGTATTTGTTTGCTCTTCTCTCGCTTCGTTTTTCTATTTGTTGTTTATTTCTGCATATAATACATTAGCTTTAGATTATTTAAAATAATTTAAGTGTAGCTTTTAATTGTACATTATTATATTATGAATGCTTGATATTATTACTCGTACCATAATTATCGTAATATGGTTATTTTTTTCATTAACTAAATATGGCTGTTAGACGTGTGATATAATGTGATATATTATGCAAATTGTTTCGCTCGCTTCTTTGTTCGGCTCCTCCGTGCATTCCCACTCACATTTCACACAATCATCTTGGAGTGGGACAGTGGAGACCAAACATATTTATATGGTGTGTGTATATAAAGATATATTTAACATAATCATAATCAAAAAATACTTCATCAACAAGAATTTGCGTCAGTTTAACAACGAAAAAATATAATATTTGTGTTTAATTTAGGCTTACAGAACTACTATAGCTGTGGCAAGTAATCCGTACTCAACCTGATGAGTAAATATGTACAGATTCCTTGCCACACACATTTTGCAATGATACACAATCAATAATATATGGGGGGTTTGTGAGGGGAGGTAAAAACAACTAATTTCGATTAGCTAATGAAAGATTCGTCTTTGCCTCGCGCATGAAAACAACAAATGGGGTTTTGTTTCTTTTGTAAAAATTGGTTTTAAAAAAATTAAAACAGTTTCTTGGATGAGATTCCGTTAACATGATAATGTTATGTTTCTTTTCTTCCTGCTCTTCTTGTTGAGGATTCTTGAGGGGTGCGGGGCGGGCCTACTACTTCCCTTCCCTATATACAAATTTGTATATTTATATTTATAAATGATTTAAGTATGTTTTTGTTCGTTGAACTTTTCTTGTTTCACCTAAAAGCTAACTTTTCTTTTTGTTTTGTTTTGTTTTGTTGTGTTTTTCTTTTGTTTTGTTGATTATGTTAATTATACTAAAATCTATGTTTGTTTCTCTTATTAATTGTTGCTTTTTTGTTGCTGTTAACAGTTTAATGGCCACAAGATTCAATATATACTGTTTTCGTTTCTTCTGCTGCTGCTGCTGCTTTACCTTTTTTTGTTGCAAAAGTGAGTGAAGTGAAGAGATTTTCGAGTAGTTACAGAAACAGGCGCCGCCAGAGCTGCTCAGGATGCAGATTTTTAGTACATGTTGTTGCTGTTTGTTACTGTAGTGTAAGCCTGGCCAAAAACACATGCCACACACACACATATATATTGCTTTGCTTGGTTGCTGCAGTCCCAATGGCTTTGCTGTTGCTTTGGCTTTTCCCCTTGGCGTGGCTCTGCTTGCGTGCTCATCTAAGGCGGTTGTTCGGTGGTTCATGGTTCAGGGTTCGTGGTTGTTATTTGGGTTCAAAAATGGATTTGTTGTATGGTTGTGGGGGGAGTTTATGAAGTGTTGGGAAAGATTTTTTTTTATAAAATTGCAAGTTACATTTTTAATTTATTTTTCATTTAAAAACATTTTTTTTTTTTAAATTTATTTTTTATGTTTTAATTTTTTTTGTTTGTTGTAAGTTTGTAAATTTTGTTTTAAATGAATGATTTATTTTTTTATTTTTTATTTGGTGTTTTTACATTTTTTGTAGTGTTATTTGTGTTTTTTTTTTAGTTTTGTTGTATTATTTTTGTTTTTTTTTTTGTGTGTGGATTTTTTTGGTTTTAGTTAGCATGTAAAGAGAGAAAGAAAAAGATTCGTAGACGTGGAAATTGAGTTATGATTAATAATTCATGGTTAGCAGTTACTTTCGATCTCTCTAGGTCCTTTTGTTATGCGAGTTATGAGGCTCAAAAAGTTACCAAATGACAGCTGCAGCACATTAACCGAAAAATTTGATTGTTTTTTTTAGCATATTACATGATCAGTGAGGGGACACAAACACATGCATATATAGTAGATATTGTACGAGTATAAATGTATATGGCATAGAAGGTGGTTGTTCTCTTTTTGTTGAATGGCTTACAAACGTTTAGTAACTTTTTGCTCAAACATTATCAACCGCATCCTTTAATTAGGATCTATACGATGCGGAATACATTTTCTTGGATATATAGTAAAGACAAACACAGACATCATTAGAAGATTGTATTAAAATAATAATATAGAAAAGTTGTTGATAGTGCAAAAATATATTCGTGTTTTGTTTTTTTTTTTTGGTTTGTTGAAACGTTATTTGATGCAACATTTGAGGGTTATTGAAGTTTGTTCTCAGACTCAAATTTACAAGAACATGAAAGATTCTAGTTTGAGATTATTATTGAATTTCTTTGAGCTAGTTTTCTTTTGTTTTTTTGGTTAACTTGGCCTTTGGTTAGTTAAAATTAGCAATAGTATTACATCACATGTTTTTTTGTTTTTGTGGCTAGACCTTGGTACTTTTTGTTTTGTTTAATACGCTATATAGATTTCATCACATAAGTTATTAAGGGAAGTAAATATTAAAATATTTATAAATAAATGTGGTATGTTTATAAAATTGCAGGTGCATTAGCTCACATTTTATGATTGTATATTTACAAATGCCAGAATAGAATTATTACTGTATAAACGAAAGCGTTATTTACATGTTTTTGGTCATTTTTACATTTAAAAAATACAAATAATGGTTTTAATATAGAATTTGTTCATCTTTTGAGCATGGGGTTGCGCAGAGTCCGATTTAAGTTCTTTTGCTGCAGATTTTGTATTCATTTTTGTTTCTCAAAAATATTTTGTTTTATTATTCGATTAATGGAAAGCCATGAAAAATGTCTCGAAGAATATCAAGCAACCGTGATGGTTAAATGATCAAAATTGATATTAAAATGGTACAAACTTTGAGTTATCGATTAAATGGTTGAAGTACCATCACCTATCATAGTTGTTTATTTATCGATAATTATCGATGAAGTTTTTTTACTATTGTTTTTAAACTAATTTGTTTGTCTTGTCTTGTAAGCAAATGCAAATGCAATTTCATCAGAAATGGAGTTATACAAGTTATAAATGTATCATTAAATAACTAAGCTAAGAGAACAATTAATCGCAAAATGTATTTAGATTACTGTGATACCAAAACCCATAAGCTTAGAGGGTAAATCTGTTAAGTACACGTATGCAGATACACATATCGGATATATCTGATGTATATTAAGTTGTATGCATATGCCATGGCATTGGTAATGTTTTTGGTGGTGGTGGTAGTAGTTGGTTGGTTGGGGCTGTCTGGGGATGCGGTTCAGACTGGGTTCTGATGTGGATATCGTGGTAAGCATAGTGTGTTTATGTGAGGGGTTTTATGTATAGGTATGTGTGGTGTTTCGTATCTATCGTTAAGTTCTCTTAGTGACTAGAGTTGCAAACAAACAAAGTGAAGTGTTTTTTTTTCTTTCTTTTTTTTGTATTAATAGTTCTGATCAATGAGTTATGTGTGACTGATAAATACTTTTGATTTTTTTTGATTATTTTTTTGGTGGGTGGTTTAGTTTACGGAAAGCGTTAGATTTTTGGTTGAAAGTTTTTTTCGAGAGAGAGAGTGGAGAACTCTGTTCTCCGTGGAGAATTTCTGAAAGAATTCAAGTAAAGAATCATAAGACTTGGTATGGATTTTGTTTTGTTTTTTGTTGTGTTCGCTTATTTTTTTTTTAAGATTTTCTGTTTGTTTTGCATTGCAACAAAAATCATTGATCTTTATTGTGGTACACTTTCTCGGGGGGTTTTCGGTTCAATTGCAACATCATTTACATTCGAACGCATAATACAAAATAATCGTAGAATCATTACAGACTAAACAGGGGGGACTTATGGCCTAGGATACACATGTAAAATTCTCATATCTCATAAAGAGTATATTTATGTATATGGTATATGGCTTATTCGAGAGTAATACAAGGGAAAAGTCTACTACAATATTCTCTTTTTGAATTTTTTTTTTGTTCTTTTCTTTTTTCTTTTCTAAAACATCAAAGGCACAAGTCAACGTGGAAACAAAGGAAAAAAAATTACAATATATAAAGATTGCGTGTATGTGTGTGTGTGTGTGTGTGTGTATAAATATTCATATCTAAGAAAAATAAACAACTTTTCGTTTTCAGCAGCATCATCTCAAAACTCGCAAAATTTTACGAAAACAAAATGCAAGCGGGAACAGAACCCATTTGCATTTTATTTCCACGCGTAAAAAAAGGATAACATATATAGAGAAAGTAACAGTAAAGAAAGTAAATGAGTGGAAAACACAACTAACCTGTGGAGGCGGTGCCACTTGCACTTTTGCCACTTGGCAATTGCATTTTTTGTTTTTGGATACGAGTGACGACCGATCAGGGCAAAGCGGCGGCGGCCTGGGCCTGGCCAACAGCTCCGGCGGTGTTTCATTGGTATCTCGTTGTGTGTGGGTTATAAATGACAGCAAAATGTTTATAATAATTGTTCTAAATTGAATGGTTGTTGGGGTAAAAACACAATCAGGGCCCAAGCAACCATCAAATTCGAAAATATCTTTTGTTACGACTTTCGATTATTGTTTTATCTTTGTTTTTGTTTTTATTTATGATTTTTTTATTAATTTTGTGGTTAAAGTTTCGCCAAAAACGAAACGAAATTCTGTAGTTTTGTTGTTGTTATTGTTTTCTGTTTTCTGTTGGTTTTGTTGGCTTGTGGAGTTTACTGTATCTCAATGAAACCCGCCGGCTTGGCTGGCACACCGACCGTTGCGCGCTGATAGGGGTGCTCTCTGGTAGCCGCCAAACGACGCTGCTGCTTAATGGCGCCTACTAAAATATACGATACGATACATGTAGATACAGATGCAAAATACAGATAAATATATATGTATAGATATATATGCATTATATAGGCATAAAATAGATTGTGAACATATTCGCTAAATAGCAATTTAAACTTAAGAACTAATAAATATTTTGCATACGATTTGCTCATATTTCGATTTCATTTCACACTTTTCGTTTCTTTTTGTTTGTTGCCAATTTTGCGGGTGGAAATCTTCTCCAGTTTTACTTTGTAACATTTAAATTCTCTGCTTCTTTGGAATGAGTCGTTCATATGTTTGTTTGTGTGTGTTTTGTGTGTGGGTTTTTTTTGTTTTTGTTTTTGTTTTGTTTGATCATTTCTTGGACACAAAATAAGTGATTTTCAAGCCGCTTAGCCTAAGGCTGGGGGTATGGGGGTTGGGGGTTGGGGGTTGGGGTTTCTCCTGTTTGTGTGTTTTTGTTTAATTCTAGAAATAATATATATTTTTGCTGTGTATGGTTTCCCTCCTTCTCTTGATTAAATCTAGAAATATATATTTGTTTTTGTTTGTTTGTGTAGTAGTAGTAATATTGATTTAAATATTGTTCATCTTCATCTCGATTTGCTGACTAGTCGTGCATTCAATTCTTGATTCTATTTCTGTTGCTGTATTCCTGGACGGCTGCCTTGACTTCAAAACTTATTAAATAAATTAAGCACCAACTGGATTCAAGGCTCCCTTTTTTCTTACTAGATTAAGTTACATTTCGCATACGATATAAAAGCTCTGCTGCAATTCTGACAAATGGCACTGGCTGGAAAAAATTGAAACGGTTTTTCTTTTTTCTTCTGCTACGTAAGGTACATTTGTGCATAAATACTGTCCCGCCCCATCATCATATTTAATCCTCCTCATCATCGCTAGTAAAAGTAACTATGCAAAAGAAAAAACAAAACAAAAAATACTAGACTAAAAACCCTTAAACCACAAAATATAATCCTAAGAAAATGCTAATAATAGTAATAATAAAATAGATTTTGCAACTCTGCCAACTTGGTTGAAAGTTTTTTGTTTTCTTATCGCTCACTCTCTACTCAAAAATTTGAAAATACTCAAAGGGTTCCACGAAAAATAAAAACAACAAATTTATGAGAATCAACAACTCTGCTGCTGCGCTGCTGGCGCTCTGCTGCTGTTCTCAACTAGAATATACTCATATCAAAAAACATATTTGGGGGGGAACTGGGGGATTGATAAATACTCGGATAAAGAGAACTAAAAAAACTACAAATAATGGGCCTAAAAATCACTTATTTTCGCCAAATAGTCATTGAACTTTTCTTGCGACCTATCGACTAACTATTACAGAACAGGAGAAAAAATAAACCCAAATTCATTGACGCGCAATAATTATAACTCTTTGTCTTCCATTATCTTTCATTTGAGTATTTTGTTTGTTTGTTGTTTGTTGATCTTGTTGTGCCGTTTGTTTACTCTTTTTGTTCTCTAAATATATTAAATTTGTTTATAAAACAGTCTCTAATTTGTGACTGCAACTAAAGAAACGTTTAAGCTAACAATTTCTGGATTTTTGGATTTCTGGATTGGTTTTGGATTGTTGGTATTTCTGTTTTTACTCAGGGGGAAAAATAATAGAGAGTGGGGATAGAAGTTCAAAAGACGGAGCCGGCATGCATATATCGACCAACTGGAAATATTTATGTTTGTAACAAAAATTGTTTATATAAAAAGTATAAGAGAAGAATAATGATTTCTTTTTTGGTGGAAAAATAAATAATGAACGAACATGTTTAGTTCTGTTAGCTATGGGGATTTTCTCTTCGTTTTTTTTTTTGTTTCTTGTGTTATTATTATTAATATAAAATAATAATATATTTTAAAAGCAATCCATGCCCAATAGAGGGGTTAAAAAGCGTGCACTGTGGCTCTAAATATATGTTTTATAGACAGTTACTTTATGGCACTGATTGATAATTCCAGGCTTGTTTTAGACTATTTATTAGCAGCCACGAGTCATCTATTCTGTTGTTCCCTTTACGAAAGTTAAGTACCAAAAGATTGTAAAAGCTTCTAACAAAAAGTGCTGCATACTCTTGGGCGTTGCTTAGAATTCATTGTGTAGATATCATGTAGTAATTATGTAAAATACTCCTTTGCTGTCAAGTATGGATCGACTAGGACTCGGACAATAAGACTGTGATTATTATAAGCTGTTTCTTTCTCTAGAAATAGCCAGATGAATGCTTTGATTGATGTGCCTCTTTTTCCTGTTACTTTACAAGAAATTGGTTCCTTCCTTAGACAACAAAATAAATGCAAAATCTTTGCAAGACAATCAAAAAATTATTAAAACTACATCGAAATGCGCGCTTTAAAGACCAATCAAAAATAATACTAACTAGAGTTCGCTGCTAAAAACAGAACTCTCTGGATTAAACTTGGTTTTATTTGGCTTTTGTGTGTTAAGAGCAAAGGCAAACGAAAACGTTAGCTGGACAGAGAGAGAAAACAGGGGCCAACCTGGCGTATGCGTAATGTGTGTATAAGTGTGTCTGTAGTTCGTGTTAGGGGGTGGTGATATTTGATTATTGCTCGCTAAACTCTTTCAATTATATTCAGATTCTTTAGATTAATTTGCTCCTAAAAAATGTTTGGTTTTCCCATTTTGTGATGCTTGATTATTGTGTGTTGGGTGTGTGTGTGTGTGTGTGTGTGTGTGTGTGTCTAGAGTTATGGCGCATAATAAATAAAAATAATATGTATTATAGTTTAGATAGAGTGAGAGAGTGATTGGGTGAAAGATTGTGGTAGGATGTTATAAAAAAAAATTATTTGGCAAACAACCCACCGCTATGATCAGCATATTCCGCGAGCAGAGGATTGCCAGCGAGTGCCGCATAATTCGCATAGTCCGCATATGGGGCAAAGATCATTTGATGTCCACTCTGATCGAAGGCACCCGACGGCGCCTGGGACAATATGCTGGCTGCCGATGTGGGCACGGACATCCTGGGGTTCAGTATCAATGGTGCGCCCAGCGGCGCCGATGATGGGGCACGTATCTGTGCGGCCAATCCAGCGGGCAGGCCGGCGGGTGTTAGCAGGCGATTGTCGGATCCAGCCATCAGACGACGCCATTCCTCTTCGCACACTGCGGGATACAGAACAGAAGCAGAGGGAGAGCCAACGCATGAGAAAGCTGTTCGTCGGCGCACACAGAAATATTCGTAGAAAAAGTTTAAAAATCAGTTGTCAAATCAATGTAAAAATCCAAAATGTATCATAATAATATTTAATAATATTCGACGAGTATGTCTAGCGTTAATGGTTAGACGTTGGTTGTTAGGACGGACGTTGGGAGAGCCTTTTCGCTTGACTTGATTTCTGGGTTATCCATTCGTTAATTGTTAAACATTTCTGGTTAGGCATTCTGGATTAGCTGGATTGAAATTATATCTTGGAGAGATTGTTACGGATATTTCGATCGATTGAGAGATAGATAGAGTGAGAGACTTTGTTTTGTTTTTCGACATACCTGCGACAGATTTCGCTGTTGTGTCCCTATAGGTGCCATTTATTATGGCCAATTCCATTAGTTGACGTTTCTTGAGCTCGTCTTCGCCTTCGGCTTGCTGTTAGTACAGATACGGCAAATGGTTCGGTGTGTGTGTGTGTGTGTGTGTGTGTATTTTGTGGCATTTATTGCAGCAAGGCAGATTAGATTTATTTGTTGTTTTTGGGCAAAGGAGAAAAGATGAGAGAAAAATATACATTATTAATTATATTTTGTTGGTTAACATTCAATTTTAGCTATGAAATAATTAAACATTAAAAGGGGCTAAAGTAGGGCCGCAGGCAGAGGGGTAAAACTTGCTTCTTCTTTGGCTTTTAAGCATTTTTCTGGTGTAAAATCTATTTTTATTTTATTTTTTCTACGACTTACCGGCACGAGCAACTTTTGTACTTCGCCCACAGCCTGAGCCAGCTTGACCTTGGCACGATTCTCGGTGTCCTCGACGGTGATCAGGACATGCAGATCATCGGACAAATGCTCCCAGTTGGGCTTGCCACGATTGGCATCCTCCTGCAAGCAGAAAATAAAACAAAAAATATTTAAAATGAAACTATAGAAAAGCAAAAAGAACTATGAAGAATTTTTAGATTCATTTTAAAGACATTTTTCGGACATAGCTTGCACTCAAGTAAATCCTTTTAATATTCCGAACCCTCGTTAAAGTGCAAAACAAATGATAAAAACTAAATGCGCCTTCAGCATGTGTGTGCTAATGGGCGCGCACAATTAATTAAATTAATTGTGGGCGTGCCGCATCACTGATGCACAGATAATGCATACAAAAATATATTCATATTTTTTTGGCTTCTGTTGATGCTGTTATTACTTATGGCGCGACGTTTCTTGGCTGGCTCGCTCGAAAAATATGCAAACAAAAAAAAGACCGCCCTCTCTCTCTGTCGTTGTCAACTTTTGACCCACAATTTATAAACAATTAAGCCTCAAATTAGACAGAGAATTATACAGAAGGAGCGTGTGTCAGCGCTGGCTGTCAGCCTGCTTCCAGGTTGCAGCTAGACTCGTGTCAAATTAAGACAGGAACACAACTAAACAATAATAAGAGGGCACAAATAAATGTCACACCTCTAAGCATTTGCCTCTGCCTATGACTAATGTTGTGTGTTTTTGGGACCTAAAATAAGACAAATGTCTCTTTGGTGTTTCTTTTGACGATGACTAAGACTAAGAGACAATCGTGTGGGCGTCACTCTCGTATTTGCTGCTAAATTATCAAAATATTGCAACGAAATTAAACATCTCTCACTCGCCGCCCGTCCAACTGTCTACCTTTCTTTGCTTTGCTTTCTTTCTGTTGTTTGTCTCCCCATCTGTAGCACAAACCCCGCCACATTTAACAATTACAAAAATACATTTAATCGTCTCGAGTCACTCGATTCATATTCGCATTTTTCGCTTTTTTTGATGCTGCCAACGGAAATTAAATCATCAACGATATTTTGACTGACAGGAATTTTTGGCATCTAGTATAATTTGGGTACGTTCTGGTCTGTGCCTGTGCCTGTGTCTTTCTCGTGTGTGGACTTTAAAATGCTCTCTAATTAGTTTGATGTTTCATCAGTGAATCACGGAAGAAGAAAAAAATAACACAAAAATGTCCTAGAAGGTGTGAGAGCGGTGCGGCGCAGCTCTTGCTCCCTTTTCGCTATGCATACCAACCGATGGGCGCTGCTGCATGACGTTCTAACGCACGCTTTCCATACTTATTTTTAGATACATGTTGACAACCTTTTGTTATATTCTCTATGCAAGAGTTCTTTATTAATTTATCTACTATATTTATCCCTTAGACATTTGCAGCATGTGCCACTCTTTGTAGAGGCTGTCAACTCTCAGTTGGCATGGAATTCGTACAGCGAAATATCAGCCAAGAATCTTCCTCTGGTGTTGAATAATATTATTAAAGTGCATCTTTTGCTCCTATAGTCTCCAAGAGCTGGATGTAAATGTGTAGATATATGTATAAGTAGACAGACACGTCAGCTATTCATAAATATACAATAAATACATAGAGAGGCATCTCTCTGCTTCTCTTTTTGCCTTTAATTAAGTACGAACACAATTCTCATTTGGCACGGAAACCGACTGTCAAGAGTAATGTAATACCCGTGTATGTGCGAGATATTTATGATAATTCAAAATTGAAATTTGGAATTCGCCAAAGAATGAATGAATTTCACTCTTAAAACTATTTTTACTCACCTTCTTCTTGTCGCGCATGGAGCCCTTGCCTCGGACCATGATCTTGCAGCCAGTCTCCTGTTCCAATTGTTTGGCTGTCATGCCGCGTGGTCCCAGAATGCGACCGACAAAGTTGAACTGAAATGGGAAATGGAAGCAAAAATGGTTGAAAGAATTAATATGAGAGGAAATCATTAGCGGAAACTAATTAGGTTCAAAGTTTTTATACATTTGTTTTGGCAAATTTAAAACGCATTAGAAGACCGGATTGGAGATTATGACTCACAGAGAGACAGATCTTTGGAGTGCATTAAAATCGAAATCATTGAGTTTCCATTTCTGTTTTTGCGGTTTGAAGGTTGACTTGGAAGCGTCACACACCCGCTACAACAATGGGTGGCATGCATCCATGGAAATATCTACTGTAAAATGGTAAATGGCTAAGGTAATATGACCGGAGGCGACACGCCTGAATTTGGCACGATAAACCAATCAGTCAGAATGGAGACACGCGAAGAAAAAGCGCAGAACATTTCAATCAAAAATTATAACAAAATTCATGAAATCTTGAAGTTTTCTTTGCTGTTTTTTCGCTCAGTGCAGCTCTTGCATGATTATAAACCAAAGTGCAGTCATGCAGTCAGTCTGTCAGTTAGTCATTCAATCGACAGGCGGCGACATTCAAAAGAATTGACGCGCCTGTCGCTTGCCCAGAACCGAGCAGCAATGATGGACATGGCTCAGTCGAGGCTCTAAGCCGGGCCAACAAGGGGGGGGGGGGGGTCCGCTTGGCGCCCAATTATCATACACACACACACACATTATCGTAGATATATTTTGTAGCTCCGGGGCTGGTGTGATGTGCTGATAAATTTCGATTTATTAGCCACATCGAAAGGCAATTTTCATGTGAGTTACTGCAAATTGTTGAAGAAACTAGTTCTGTTTTGGTACTGCCCCAAAGGCAGCACACACAACCCACCCACAACGGACACAGAGATACGGTGGAAAAGCTATTCCAAAAGCGATGATGTGATGGGGGATGTGAGATATTGAATGCCGTGTGTGATGCGATCATCGGACAGTCAGCCCGCCCCAGGCCTCAGGCAACAATCAGCAGTCAGGCAGCAACAGTCAGCAGCAGCTGTTTGTCAGTCTGAATGTATCTGTACATATCTGTATCTTATAGCCTGGCATCTGCAACTGCAACTGCCACTGCGGCAGCAGAGAGATCAAATCAATTGAAAATTGCCGCCATGATCCGAAGAATGCAGTTAATGGCTAATGGCTTTGGCAATTTTAATTAAATTTTGCAACAAAAAATTCAACCAAAGTGGCTGACAACAATCTATCCTCCTTAAATGTTGCACAAATATGGCGAGAAAGTTTATTTTTCTTGTTGTGTCTACGGGTTCAGGCCGTTGTCTAGCTTTGAGCTTAATTAAAAAACCCAAAATGATAAACAAATGATCGCACAAGCGGAAATTAAAATTCACCCAAACCGCTGCAGCTCTTTTTATGTTCCTTCGACGGCCGCAACACTCGAAGCTACCACAAAGCAACGCGTTCCACAAATATTGAACGAGGGCAAACAATTATAAGAGTGGGCTATATAAATGATAAATGAATAAAGATTAAAACAGAAATAAATGCACTTGAGGCGGCAGGAGTTCGCTGTGCAGAAGCAGAAGAGTTTTGAAATATTTTATGGCTTAAAAGAGACACACAAGAGACACGTAAAAACTCATTAAATAATATATTTTAAAAATCTAAAGAAAAATGCAATAACTTCAGAAAATAAGGAATATTGTTCATGTTGTGCAACTTAGTGCCAAAATAATTATTGAAGATAGATAACCCATCCCTTCCTGATTGAAACTAATTTAAAACAAGCACATTTCTTGCGTGTATTTTAGTCTGCTCTGATCCACTCTCTTACCCCCTCTCCGCACTCATTTACTTTGTTGTCGTTTTATGAGCTGCATATACAATAATTACGAGTGCCAGACAAGCAGCAGCAGGAGTAGCTGTCCCCACACACGCGTGCCGCTAGACATTCCAAAAACCAAAAACAGCAACAGGCAAATGGCAAGAGCAATGATAAAGCAAACAGTTTTGGATGTTTTACTATTTGTGTTTGTACGTTTATTGGCATTTTCCAGGGAGGCACTTGAAGCAGACAGCAGGCAGGCACAAACGGGAGTCAAGTGGGAGAGTGGAGAGCGGGAGAGTGTAGAGCGAGAGAGCGGAGAGCGGGAGAGTGGAAAGTGAAAAGTGGAGTGGAAGCAAAGCAAAAACAGATTCCGATGTGATTCAATTCAAGTGAAGAAGAAATAAATAAATAAATGCCTGTATATTTTACATTTATGTCTTAAATTATTTTACAGATTTTCAGACCTGATCAGGCAAGCGCACACAAGTGGAAAAGTACATAAATATATGTACGTCTGTGTGCACTTGGAAAATATGTATATTTCATATACAATTTCTACAATAATTTTCAATAAAGCAAAGGTACAAGAAATTGATAAGAGAACGAGGAAGAGGAGCCAGAGGGGATCTGCACGCCCACAGAAGGGCCCCCCCAAGAGATAAGGAAATGTGTTTGTGTGTGTGTGTGTGTGTGTGTAGAGGCCTAGCCAGCAGACTTGTGCGGTGTGGGGCGACCATGACAACGAAACCGAAGCACACGCAACTGTCCTACGATTGTCCTCAGTGCTCAGCTCTCAATGTGCTATGCAATATCAAATGAAAAGCCATCATCAATTTTTGCGAGCACAAAGCAAATGGCAATGACACGTTTTCGTTTGGGTAAACCTTTGCCCTGCCGCCCACAGCTTCAATCATTAATAACCGAATTTGTGGTATTTTTACCACAAAAAGGTGTCATATTTTGGCCAGATCCGAGACGATTTACAAAAAATGGCATAAAATATTTGCAGCTTATGATATTTGAGAGAGCTTCAATCTGTTCAAACCTCTAGTAGTAAAGGGTAGAAACCCCAAATAAATCTAAGAAAAAAAAAGACGAGATACGAGAAATGCATTATCTATTTTTAATTCGCTAATTCAATGGCGAAAGGTTGCTTCAAACTGAGTGGCCATGAGAGCAAAAAATTGCTTCCCATTCTTCTCCAGCAACCAATAGAAAGGTCTACAAAAATATATCTAAGTCTTTCAGTTAGTTCCATATAAAAACACCGCTCCAGCGGACAATGTATAAAAGTGCATAGGCAACACTCAGGCAGAGGGTCGGCGGCATAGATCAAATAGATTAGACTCGTATACGCTTATTAAATGCATCTAAAACATGTATGTAAATACTCTCTACAGAGAGCGACACTTTAGCGCACAACAAAAAAGCTTGTCTATTACACGGAAAAATAAATCAAAAATTGACATGACAGGCAGCAGCAGCAGCAGCAGCAGCAGCAGCAGCAGCAGCAGCAGCAACGGGCAGCAAAATTTGAATGACTGAAAATTAAACTCTGAAAATAATGTTCATAGTTTGTCGGCTAATGCGTTGGCATTTTTGCGTTTTTTACCCCCATTAAATTACCCAGTGGAACAACCGAAAATGTACATAAAAATTGCATGTAATTAGCATTTCAATGTTTATGACTAATTTGCTGCAGTTTGTAGATTAATTGGCCTTTGTGTTAACGGCCTTAGACAATTAGACAAACAAACAAAAAGTAAAGTGTTTTTGTTTTTGTTTTTGCGCTGGATGGGTTGCTGTTGGAATATAATACAATTATGCGATGTACCATGTTCAGGGGCAGTATTTAAGGCGGCAGCATTTAAGCGTTTTGAGCGTTATAAATCTCTGGCAGAAACGACCTTAAAGCCAGCATCAGATGGGGGCTTAAATGTGAGCTGCAGTTGGCTTTTTATGTTTTGTGGGTGTGACCCAAACATCATTACAGATCATATTGGATTGATTAAGCGGCTGATTGTTTAATTATAAGGGAGGGAGGAACCAGAAAATGTGAGGGCAAAGCTGAGGCTGCTTAGGGAAAATGTAATTTTGGGAGAGGGAAAGGTAGGTTAAGGGAGTCTTTTTTTAAGGGTAAAGCCAAAAGACTTTATGCAAAATTTTAATTCAATTTTGTGCCAATATTTTGTGCTTCTCAAAATGAATTCAACTATTTTTTCTGCAGTAGAAAATCTTTAGGTGCTTTATGGGAATATTTTCTCTACTGATCGGGGTCTAGCTCCATTTAATTATCCTCTAAATTTCAGTAATTTGTTGTGCCTTTTCCATTAATAAATTCGAATACTTATCTATGACTCTCTGACATGTAATGACTGCTTCAAGCATCAAGCATCAAGCATCAAAATGATTTCATTTAACAGAATACAAAACACAAAAATGATTTGGCCATAAAGAATGTCAAACATAATTTTCTATTCGCTCATTGAAACAGATACAGATACAGATACAGATACAGATACAGATACACGCACTAGGCAACGGGTTGCTGCTGTTTTTCTCAGTGGGTCAACTGTCGCATGTCGCCACGGGGCGTATGAGCAATGAGCGCTGACAGTCGTACAAGCACAACATACACACACGAGGGAGAGATGAATAGAATACAATGGAAAGAGACAGCAGACAGACAGATGAGACAGAGCAGACAGACGACTTTGGAGCGTTAATGGCGTGGCCTGTAATTAATTGTAAACTGTTTAAATGCGCCGCTGGACGGGCTCTTGGACTGGACTGACTCTTGGCTGCTTTAATTAAGTTGCATTTATGTTTTTGGTCGCAAAACAAGCTGCAATCTACCCCAGCCTCTGTCTCTGCATTCGGTTAACTCGTTGACAAATTGTTTGTCCATTTACATGGCACACGAAATACTCTCGTATTGCTTGGGGCCTGTCACTTCTATGACTCCTCTGACAAATCTCTATTTACATTGTGTTTTTGGTATAAATTATTAACTGCCATTACTCGTTGCTCTTGCCGAAATGCCTTGAAATGTGTGTCCAATGACGTGGCGGCATCCTCTGGTTTGTGTCTGTTGCATTTTCCATGTTATTTGAAGCGCAATTTATCTTGCTTGAACATATATTTCACAAACACAGCCACCGAGACGTGGCAAATGTGGAATATTGCACAAATTTTGCTCAAAATGTTTGCAATTAAATGAAATGATTTATGACGCGTAGAGAAATGTGCCTCGAAGACGCCCACGCCGAATAGCACTCGAACATTGAACACCTTTAGGAAATTTCCAAGCATTTGGCTATTGAAAATAGACTGATTTGAACACCTGAAAGCGGGTCTAAGGATGCGCCGATTGGAGCTATAGATTCTGTGCCAGATTTCATTTGGAAAATGTCACAAAAACAACATCAAAAGTTGTCAAGTTTGTGTTTCATTTGAAATTATACATGTTCTTGCTTAATTTATGAACTCAACTCATTCATATTCAGTTGGAATTGGTCTGGGAGAACCAACATAACATGAGAAATGGGTTGGGAGCGCACATTTTGATGGTTTTTTATGTTTTGCTCTACTTCAGGCGCCTTCCTCTATGATTGCTTCGCTTTGTTCTACAGTTTATGATTTGCTTAAACTCTTGGGAAATGTTTTGTCATGGTTCAGGGATAATGGTTCATAGATTTTGACTGTAGATCTAATTATCTGCAGAGTTTTCTTGACTTTTCACTACAAATATTTCTAAAAAATCACAGAAAATTCCCTGCTTCTCTCACTTCTTCTGGTCCCTGTCCGAACCTCTCTTATTCCCCTCCCTGGGTGACAGTTTCGCCCTGAACTATTGCTTGGGCGCCAGCCAGCCACTCATTTGTCCAAGAAAATGATTATAACAGCTGTTTGGACAAGCAGCACTCGATCTGAAATGCTTTCGAGTCTAATTAATGCTATTTAAATTTATGCATCCTACTCGCAGATATCTGGAACGCCAGCAGAGAGTGCAGAGTGAGGAGTGAGGCGGGGAGGTGAGGGCAAAAATACATCAACATAAAATACATCCAAAGGCAAAGTGTGTCATGCAATAAAATAAATTTCCTCGTCTGCTGCTGTCAGGCCATAAATAAATAGAGGAGGGAGCAAAAACAAGAAAAAACTACGCCCAAACAATTTCCAAATTAAACGAGAAACAAATAACAGAGCGGATTGGAACGGCGCAACATTTTAAATTGCATAAAATTAAATCAAATTCTAATGTGGCAGGGCCCTGGGGCTGGGCTTGGCTTGGCTTTGGCTTTGGCTTTGACATGACGCCTACAAGTAAATTAAATGAAATGAAACCGGAGTGAGTGCTGCCGTCAAACGACTTCCTAAAACGCTTCAATGATTCCGCGCATCTAATCCACATGGTGGCTATATAGGGATGGGTGGGCAAGGGGTACAGCTTTGCATTTGGCATCTGGCATGGGGCGTGTTGTGTCTTGTCTCAAAGACACTTTAACACACGACTGACTCTAACAGTGGCACACAAGAAGACAGTACAGCATGTCGTAGGTAGGCAGGCACTGGCACACCTTAAAGCCATTTCCGGTGTACCAGTTGCTCAGTGAACACTCCGAGACATTGTTGCCTAATGTCGTTGTCACTTTTCTAATTGGCGGAAACCCAGAGCCATCGAAATGTATCGTTGTCGATCCATAAATTAGATCATCATTATTTGTCATTCAGCGTTAATTGTTAATTTTAGTGGTTCAACTTACATCTGGATGTTCGCGAACTGGCACATAAACCTTCTCGTTCATCGTCACGACAGCGCCCTCGGGCTCGGGCAGTGTCAGTGGCTCCTTCTTGACCCCATTGATCTGGAAGAGTGAGGCGCGCACGCGTGCAATTTCTGTAATAAAAGCGAAAAGGGAATGGAGATTAAATAAATGGAAAAGACATACAGCAAAGAGTTACCGAAAAGTATTTCAATTTAAAGGAAAAATATTTCTGTCTCAAAAAAAGGGAATGGTGAATGGTGGGTACATCGAAGGTATTTTGATCCTAAATTTATCTGCAACCAAATTATATAAACAATCCACTTAATTGCGCAACAAATGCCACCTTTTCCATGTCCAAGAAATTGCATAAAAATAAATAAATTCTCTAATGAAAGTTGCACAAACAAATTTTAATTGCTAGCCTCAACCACGACTGAGTTCCATTTGTCATTTGGCTAAGTGGTTGTATTAAATTACGTTTAATTCATGTACTAAATGGGCATCAATAAAATGGCGTGTGAATAATATGCTCAGCCATGCAGTTGAGTGCTACTTTTGTTATTTATTAGGTTGTTGGGCTGATAGCCAATGAAATCACTTGGTTTATATATAAACAAATTATGCCATGCATTTTCCCTAGCTCCCAACCCCTAGGTGAGCTCTGAGGTCAGCCTCTACATTTCACACTTCTGTTCAGGGTGGGCTGCTGTGTGAGTTACCCCCAACTGTGCCAGTTGACAGCCCCTCTCGAATTGATATGATCAACATTTTGTGGCTGCTGGGGCTGCTGTTATTCTGCTTTTGTGCATAAACCCAAACCCAATTGCATTGCCATTGTTTGTCTTTGGCATGTGCCTTCACAATTTGTCACTAAATACTTGGTAATTGTTGGGGCTTGTGTGTGCTGCTACATGGGGGGCCAGGCGGCAGATGTCATAGAAGTGACTCAAGATTTGTGCCCACAAGTGACATCAATTAAACGCGCCACTGACTTGTCCAACTAAATGAAAAACGAGTGACTAAACTTTGACAAGAAAATACGATTTGATGGGCAGCATAATGCTTTGTGGAATTTATTTTATAGAAACTTTTAGTGTCTTAAATCCTTTGGCCTGCCTTGAACCGTTTGTCCATCTTTGCCTTGAGTAAATTAATTAACTTTTTATATACACCCACAAATGTATCTAGCTTGCGGCATCTTTTCTTGTCTTTTGTGTGTCACATAAATAAAATTAAGAACAAAAATCTGCAAACTGAAATCTGAAATCTGTGCTGCGGCAAAACAATGAAAAGCAAAAACGCAGAAGAAGAAATTGCACAAAAAATTTAAAATTACTTTTTTTTCGCGGTAAAGCAACGAGATGGAAAATAAAAAGATGTTTTTCCATTCCAGAGTTCAGCGTGGGTTTCGGGGTCAAAGAACCCATCAAGAAATGTATAGAAAAAGATGAAGAATAATTGTGGGGCAGCCGCCGCCAGCAACGCAGCACAAAAATTTAAGAAAAATATCTATTGATGGTAGATGGTAGAGATTTTCGCCTCAAGCGAGGAAAATTGACTGGGAGAGTAGAGTTTTTGCATCACGCAACATGGAAGAGCATTCCATCAAGTTTAGAATAGATCGGATCACAGCTTTAAGATCATTCAATCAAGACAGCTGTCAGTTTTAATCGAGCATATGTCAATGTGCAACGTGACCCAAGCACGCTGCAGATTGTGCAACCAGATTAGATGAATAAGACTCTAAGAGAGTCGCCGCCGCCGGAGTGGAGGTTAAATTGGTGTAAAATCATTTGCATTTGGCCGAACCGAACCGATGACGAAGTCGCAGCATATCGAATCGAATTAGTCACTTCTGGCAATGGCTTATTGGATAGGCGGCATTTAGATAAATTGCTATAATCAGACGGCATATTGTGCAGGCGGCTTAACTAATAACTTGGGTCTCTCTCTCAGATCTATAATTAAATCCCTTACTCAGAGAACCACCTGCTGTTGCCGTCCCCCCACACACAGAATCTCCATTTAAGGGCAGTCAGAACTCAGAACTCAGAACTCTGAAATGAGAGACCTGCCTGAGTGGGCGAACCGAACGAGAGCAGTAACAATTATCAATGAATGACCATTTTATTCATTAACAAGTCGAGTCGTTTGTGCTTTTAAGGCAACTCTCGGTTCTACTTCATCTTTCATATTCATTCAGTCCGCGCCTAATGCAAGTTTGAGTCATCATTTGCATAGATAGAGACCACTTTTATGACTCTATATCTGTATCTGTCTATGTAGCTCTTGGCCAACGCTCAAGCTCTATATATGGCAGCAGCATCGGAGGAGCTGCCACCAAATTTGGCGCAAAACTTTGCGTGTGGTGTGCTCAAGTATTATTATTATTATTATCATTTTGTAGAAACCTCAGCGCCCACAATGTGGCTCCACCAAGTGGGTTACCTTTGCGCCGAATGGAGTGTTATTAGTGGCAACAGCAAACAGCAAGAAACTCAAGGCTAAAGGATGAATGGAATCGGTTTAATTTGTATATGACATCATTTTTGATTTTGATTTCACAGAATGAAATCTTTTCTCCCTCCCTTCGATTCACTGCCACATTTTGCAACATTTAAAAATTTAAATTTAGCTTCTGCACTTTTTTTGATTCTCTGTTGCTTTTTTCTGCTTTTTCCTGCACTTGAGAGATGGTACGAATCCGTACCATAAGTTGTCAAATTTTATGCACCACGACTTTTATTTTTTTTGGCAAGGGTTCTTCGGGGCCTTGCTGCCCCGCAGGCAAGTAGGGCATAAAATACATATATACAAAGTGGGTGGCAGAAATAATTACACATTTAACATATATTTTGATGCGTGGGGGTGAACTTTTTTGAAGTGCCTTTTGGGTTTGATTTTGGGATGAAATTCTGCGGAATTTAATTGAACAGATTGAACGATGGAAGAGGGTACATTTTCGGTGCTGTCATAAATGGATTTTGATTGAATTTCGCAGCAAATTGAATGAGCTAAAAATATTTAAGATACATGAGGAAACATTTAGCTACTATTTTAGGTGCAGCTGATATTCAATTAGTTATCGAATGGAATATTATTGTCAGCGCTTACCCTCTCTTCTGCGCTTCCGTTACCTTTGCTGGACGTTTACGGTTTTTTTAGAGCGGGTGCATTGAGAGAGGCCCCCGCTCAGAGAGGATGACATGAGCGAGCAGATAAGAGAGCGCAGTTCTTGCTGAGTGCGAGTGGGATGCCAGTACGTACTAAGAGAGAGACTCGCTCATATTTGCGCAAGGCGATAAGCGGGGTTTTACCGAATGCGACTGCACATGGAATTCCGTTGTGTAAACAGTATGAGCAAGAGCAAAAAATAATCAATGCAACTTTTAATCAGCAGCTAAGTTAAGGACATCTTTCAAGCAATTCCACCATTCACAGCCATAGCCCCGACAGCCTTGCGCTCCCACCAAATACACCAAATATCCCCAAATCGAATGTCACAGACAGCTCGCTCATAAGATATGCAAGAGAGCGACACCTTAAACCAAATTAAAACTGAGCTTAGCTCAACAGCTTAACACGAGAGATATCATCTCATCAGGGGGGGGGCGCTGATTGATTGTTTTTTTTTTTGTTTTGCTGTAGCTGGGAGAACAATTTGCATTGGCTCACGATTTTCATGGCTAAGAGGCGACAAGTGCGGGCGTGGTGGGGACTGTGGCTAAGTGCGACACATATCTAAGTATCTGCCAGCTAATTTATGAATGCAAAACCATTCATACAAGCGAGTACCACACGATATTCGAGCGTGGGTGTCTGGCAACCCAAAGCCAACAATGTCAAATGAGTTCTGTCCGTCTGGTCTGAGTACGTCTCGTGTCTCTGTGTGGGTTTCGACCTGACTCTGTGACTCTTGCCTTAACAAAATTGTCCACAGAAATGGCAAAGAAACGTTTAAGGTTCACATTGATTGCTGCACTTAAGCCCCCATCGGGTACCCGGTATTTTAGTAATGTTTTGTGAGCTTTATTTTTGGTTTTGAACTCCATTGGCCTTGGAAATATTATTTGCAATTTGGCAGTGTATTTGTACAACCAAAAATCAAAACCAAAACCGAAACGCCACAAAAAAAAAAGGAATGTTTATTGTGCGTTCAAGTAATTTCATTATTCGCTTGTATTTTTATTTTTTCGTGAAGCTTTTTGCATATTTTGTGCATATCTCTCTTGCCTTATGATTGTGGTTGTGGTTGTGCTTGGAACAGTGCGTGTCGTAGCTATAAGTCGAGCAGAGCTAAGGCAATAAATTCATTTATTTTTGATTTGTTTCTTCAAGTTCTAAAACGCACCTCCAGCTATTTGGGTGTTTCGCACCACTGCAAGAATAAATATTTGTTAATTTAGCTGAAAATCCGTGTTTTCTTTGGTTTTGCTTGGATTTTTGTGATTTTTTTTCAGTATTTTAATTAATGAATATTTCCAAAGCTGGCGGGCGACACGAATGACAGTTTTTTATGCATTTTTAGAAATAAATTTGCTACAATCATAAAACTGTCAGTGGCATGTCGGTTCACACGCTCGCTTCGTGGCTGATATTTCCAAGATTTCTATTATAGTCAAGCAAAATGGTTATTTCTGAACAAACAAAATAATATAAATATTAGCGGGGATTCTTTGTTGTTGTCAACATGATTTTATAATTAAAATTGCACATGCAGGCCACATTTTTGGTGGGTGTTACGGAAAACAAAAGTTTACTGAAAGTTGTAACCGATGTGGTATGAAAATGTAATTTCTGGCTAACAATATCCGCAGAGAAATAAACTCAAACAAAACAAAAAGGAAACACAATTAAAGGTTGCGTAAAACAAAACAAAGACTAAAAGCGAAAAAGAGGGGAAAGAGAGAAATTCCAATAAAAAATATCAGCAGTGGGTTAACGATAGATGAAGCTGGAGAGGGGGAATATGGCTTGTCCTTGAAACTGGGTTAAAAGCAGAGAACCAGCACACAGAACGGAGCGGAGACTGTGCCAACAGAGCAACGGAAATACCATTAAAAAAGGGAAGAGATGCTTATTTCATGTTAAATCTCTTCTTGAGTTTCTTAAAATGTTTTCAATGCTGGAG